GCCTACTTTAATATAATGCATGGTAATCTACTTTATTGCTTTCCAAGTCTAAGGCGGTGGTGTCTGCATTTGGCATTTATGGCACCACGGATTATTGGCTCTGAACCACTTATCAATGCTAAATGTGGAAATTCATTATTAACTTGGTCACGAATAGCATTCATGATTTGTTCGTTCAATTGTTTAAATATCTTTGGCGTACCCTTGGAGTAGAAGGTACCGCCATTCAAATTACTCTCCGCCATTTCCTCTATAGTTAGCAAACTCGTCATTAAATTAAGCGTTAAGGAAATGGCGGAAGACGAAACCTCAAACACCTCCTGGTATTCATTGGCGGTCATGGTTATTTCGTTTGTCGTACCTATCGACACGCGATCTGATGTGCTGAATTTGTTGGTTGGTGCGTTTGGCTTTGGTAGCTGCATAATGTTGTCTTTTGGTGTTCGCATTCGTGGACGAAACAACCATGGTGGCGAGGTAGGGGTTATGGGAAAGGGACGATAAATGTGAGCATTGTTGGATGTCCAGGGATTGTCCAGTAACTCAGAATTTAGTGTTGGGCGGTACCAATCAAGTGGGTGTGAATTTGGAAGGTGAGTTTGAAGAGTTGGCAGCTGGTGTTGCACATTCGGGTGCAGCTGTGTGGATGAGTGAGGTAGCGATGATGACGCTGTTGATGATGATGATGAGTCCAGTGGCGAGTTCGGTGATGGAGGTAGCGATTCCGGTGGCGGTGGCAATTCTGGTGATGAAGGTAGCGGTTCTTGTTGCGGAGGCAGTTCCGGTGATGGAGGTGGTGATTCCGATGACACAGCTGGCGAGTCCGGAGGCAGAGCTAGCGAATCCTGTTTCTGGAGAGGCCCAGGCCAGTATTTAGTGTGTTCGGCAGTGAATTTACTGAAGCTGATTTACTAGAATCCTGAGGGGTAAAACAGAAAGTATAGCGTTGGTTTAGTAATAAAGAGCAAAAGAGAAAATGGAAAAAATATGACGCGGAAAGATGTATGTAAAAACTTGAAAATTTGGAAATGAACGTGCTGTGATTGTGTTTGTAATTACTGTATTATTTTAAGATATAACTTGCTTCGTGATTGTACTTCGAATTAACTTTCTATTATTTCATTAAACGTAGGTCTAATTACCTAAAATGAAGACTTTTACTTTGTGATTGTAAATTATAATATTATTTCCCTACCTACATAATTTCATCAATTGAAAGTTTACAGATTGTTTAAACTATATGGCGTTCCATAGAAATGACCGGCGGCTCAACTTGTCGGCGGCTCAACCGGTCATAATCCGGATTTAGCACCAATAGGCCTATATTGTATTTTATGGATTATAATTGTCATCAGTTATTCAAATAGGAGTACTATAGCACTTCGAAAAATCTAATTCAAATGTGCAGGAAACTGTGAATTGCATACTTACAATAAGGTAAGGTAAATTGGCATTACGTCAACTTCCAAGTGCCAGAATGTGCTTGACGTTATCTGTCAAGATTGGCATTGCAGATCAGAAGGGAATAAGAGAACGATGGGTATATTATTAGAACAATAAGCAAAACAAGATGATATAACGGTACTGTACCTTTTCCAAAGCATATAGGTCTATCATTAGTATACGCGTATTTAAATTACAGTCCTACAATGAATTACAAACAGAAAAGAGATAATACAAAATGTGTTCTATTCTATGCATCGTGGTTGTTCGCGCAACCGATTTTAAGAATGAAGTTTAATTTGTCACTTACGTCTACAGCCTCCGAAGAATCATATGGCTTGTCGTCGCCCAACACTAGATCTTTCTGTTTCTGCAACAGCTCGGCATTTGAATCTAAGAAAAGTAAAATGTAACAAAAATTAGCATGAATAAAAAAAAAAGTATAGGCCTACTGTTAATTATTTTGAATGGTCATAACTGCCATAGAGTCCCCTCGACAAACGTATAAACAGGATAGAACAATATTTGTATTGTTTACTACGTGTATATCGAATACAACATCATCGTTCATGATCTGCTGTATCAAAACTAAGGATAGGCCTATAGAAAATGTCACATACCTGATAGAAACTTAATTACCCCAGTAAACTGCTGCTGAGTTGTCCAATTTACCGTTACTTCTTGACCGATTTTTAATAAGTCGGATGTCGGAACAACCTTGGCTATTGGTACTATGGAAGTTGTTTTATCAACTTTAAAATATACCAAAGCATTTCTTGGATTTCTTTTACGACGAGCTTGTCTCATTTTGAGCATGTTCGAACCAGCATTCAACCAAGAAATGAACATCACGTTCAGATAATCAAAAGAAATTCAGAAATTGTTTATCCAGTAAGGTGCCCACCCATCATTCCATTGTCAAGCTGTTAATGGTTTGCAATTGCTTTAATATAAACTACATTTCAAAACGCACAATCATACAAACTGAAACCTGAAACAAAATTGTTAAATCTAGGGAGCTGATGGTGACTTTTAAAATCCAATGACAATGTAACAAGGTTGGGGAGGTTTTCTTAATTTAGAACAGAGAGAGGTAGCCCATGCGTTAATCGTCCACAGCTACTGTTCTTTCTTGTTCAGTTCAATTCAATTTATTGGATTCACTTTTAATACAGTGGCACTCATACAAAATGTATGGTCCATCCAAAAGACATACAAAAATGTGACAAGTGAATTTTCGCATTACCCTTGGTGGGTGGGCGTCAAAAATGTCAGAAAGTCCACACAAGTTCAGACAGTACAGTGCATTATTTTTGTTAGATTTCGGAAACCCATATCTTATAAAAATTCTACTTAAATGTCCATTAATAGGGTACTGTAGGAACATGAAGAAGTAGCATTTTTTAATGCATCAAGATATTCCTACGAATTTCGTACCACAATAGAAATCTACGGTTAGCTGGATCGAAATGAAATGCTTGGCGTTATAGTGACCAATTTTAATAGTTTTTTTTTTTCATGAAGTAAACAGTAAAATTTTGCCTAGTTTCAGTCAAGGGCCCTGGTGGTTTTTTTTTTTTTTTTTTTCAATTTTCAGTTTAAAATGTACTTGCATTGCACACTTCTCAACTGTAGAAAGTTATTGCTGCGAAGCAGCCAATTCATATTCTTGACAGCAATTTGACCTCTGAAAGGTCATTGTTTGTCAAAAAACAATGGCCTATGATGCTCCTTGATAGCTAACTTTGTTTATTTAACATCACAATAATTCATTATTAGACCTATAGTTGTTTTTTGAATTGTACTCCACAAATCTCAGCCACACACCTGTGATCAAATGATACGCTGGCTCGCACTTTGGCAACACTCTTTGGCAGTCAACTCGCCCCTAGAAAACCCGCCCTTGGAAACTTGCCCCATAAAAAAATGTACACTTCCTAGACTATGCAGTCTTCAAAATAAAAATTGTAACCTTTGGTAATCAACTACATTTTCCACATACATAGAAATTTTAGAAACTTTATTTTAAAAAACCTAAACCATAATTCACCACTACAGACACTTTTTGACAAAAATGAAAAATTACGACTTTGTTACCCAATGAGAAGTGTTGTAATATAGACAGTGGGTCGTGTCTCATATTATTTGTTATATTTTTATTATTCATTATTTCCACTTGACTCGCATAAATAATTTTGTTCGAAGAACATTTATATGCAGTTGTACTTCGCAGCACTTCACTTGCAATTTCTAGTAACTCGGCTCCATGACAATGCGATTGGGATCGAGTTGATTTGGCTCGAATTCATACATGTCACACCAACCAAAAATTAGTAATTTTACCTGTCTCAGTTTGTTCATTTATTTAATTTCAACATGTATTATGTCGTAAGACAGTTTTTAATACAGTAGCACTAAAATTATAATAATATTAATAATAATGATGATAATATGAAAACATACCACTAGTTAAAGTATGCTATCCATAAACCCGCAGCATTCAAACTGTATTCTTCTAGTAGTTGGGTACCGTAATTAATTAATTATATATGTACATAAACCTGGTTCTTACGCTGATAATTTGCACTAATCTACATTTCTTACTCTTAATAATAATACTGTATTGAGAACTATTGAGTCACAACACGATGGCGTGTAGGCCTATTACATTTTGATATGAATTGTAGGCCTAAAATTTGTTCACTTTTAAATCAATGCCATCCATCATACCATGTGACTGTGCACCTAAATACAAATAAACTTACTAAACAAAACGATACGAAAAAAAAATCTTCATTAAAAACTAGGCAAAATATGGCATAATGCATGTAGTATACGCATTAGGTCTGGTCAGTTGCACTTTATTAGGAAAAGGTGAAATTCCAAGTTAATTGAAAGATACTTTACATGTTGTTATTGTTGTATACAGTCTAGACTATTGTACAGTTGGTGTTACGTAATATAATATATCTTTGAGTTATTAACGTACTATACAATCAGTAAGTTAACAACTCTATTGGTTTATACATTATGGAATACATGTGATTAAAGATTTCCATTAATTGTTCTGTAGTGACATTTTAAATTTTATTTACTATATATTCGTTTTTGACGTTGTCTCTTATGTTATGCATGGAGGAATATAATAGGCCTAGGATGTAACAACAATTGTTTAGTGATATTATACACGGTGGTGTCGGCATTTTATTGGATAATTCAGTTTACCATCAACAGCAACAAAAGTTAAGCTCCTATCTTTAGCCACGATGTAGTCCCCTAATTATTTAATGTTCAATTGTTTTTATTAAATATTTGTATCTAGGAATGTAATTAATTCAGTCCTTTTCATATAAATGTTTTAATGGAATTTTAATGTATGATCATACACCTATTAATAGGTTCATGGTATGTATTGTATTTTTAATGGTTAATAAATTGTACAGAAACATTAAAATATTTGAACCTCTATCACGATTGAATGATATTTTGCGCTTACAAATAAAGAATAATATTGTTATTATTCTTGGAAGTCTTCTTTGACAGTCAGCCACTTTCAAGATTGTATCACAATACAGAAATTCCATTTCAATAAAAGTTCTAGGGCTCGCATGTTGCTTGTTGGGCACTGGAGGTCATTAGCCTAGTAGGCGGCGCATTCTATTCTTGGTGCTAAATGCATCGCATGTGACTTCCAACAGTACGCCCACAATGTGCCGACCGTAGCAAAACATTCACACGGTTCCGATATAAAAACCAAGCGGCTGCCTGCAGCTGTACATTTTTCGCAATACAATACAGTATAATACCTCCATGAGTACAGGTATATCGACGTTCGTTTTTTATGACGGATACACCAAACATATGTATTTTTCTTATACATTTTTAAAAACCTCGAAAACAGTTGGTGAGTTTATAATATTATGCGGACTATGGGCTATTATCATCATCCCTATTTACTGTATATCAAATCAAACCAAAATATATTAAATACAATATGTAGGCTACACCGTTGGACACACATATGTGGTACATAGGTATTGAAAAACATTACTACAAACGATTAGTATAACACAAGATATCCATCGTCGTAACATTCCTAAAATATATAATTTGCTAAACAACCGAGACAGAAAAGTATTTAAATGGCATATTTTGAAGACGATTTAAGCAACTCGAAACGTTCAGACATTCGTTAAAAACATTCTTTTCAGAACTCCGCATGGTAAAGTATACCGTAGGCATTTAATATTTTTTTTAAATAAAAAAAAAATCAGTACTGTATAGGATAAATATAAATTGGCCTACATAATAAAGCCATATAAATTAATGCGCTTAAAATAAATAAACATTATTAGAATACTATACTGTACTCTTACGATTGAAGGTTACAACAGACAATTACACATGACAAAAGAATCAGCGGTAGGCCTGTGTACGGTTTAACATCGCAAGAATAAACCAGCAATGTTGAATATTGAAACCTATATCGATAAATGGAATAGTCCAAAACGTTGATGCCTATCTAACAGTACTCGTCAGCGACGCGCCCAGATTAAGAAATATTTTAAATCCCCAACCACGCATCCTCGTCGGATATACGCGTTGCTTTATTTTGTGATGCTCCCTAAACTGTTGACTATTTATTATCGTTATCATTATTATCACTATTGTTATTGTTGTTTTTACTGTTGTTATTGTTATTCATTATTACTATTGTTATTGTTATTACTATTGTAATGATTATTACTATTGTTATTGTTGTTAATGTTATTTTTTGTTATTATAATTATCATTCTTATTAATATTATTATTAGTGTTACCTAAACTGTTGACTACTTAACATTTTAATTATTATGAATCTATATTTTATTCATTTTTTTTTCCTCAAAAAACCACATCAGCTGCAATTGCTTGTAGTGGATCCAATTTTACACATATTATTATTATTATTTTTTGAAACATGAATGTGGAATATAAATAATATGTTGAATTAAATCCAAGATTGCCACCATAACGACTTCAATCTGCATGGATCCTACCCAAAATTGAATTCTATGATCATAAAAAGCATGTAAAAATGTGCTATTATCCACATACAGCCTTTCACTTTATGGTTGTTGAGTACGATTAAAACTGGTAAGTTTAAAAACAAAGCTTACCTTGTCATTTAGAGGGTGGGATATTTGGTCTTCTGGAACTTGTCTTGACTTTAAAAATTCTTCCATTCTAAACCTACAATAATTACCAGTATATTCGTGTGGGAATAATTGTTTGTTTATGATTTTTATTTGCAACCACATATTATTAATCAAATTATTATTAGAGTAATATATTCCCTTCCCACTTGTTGGACAATTGGCATTCCCCTCCCCCTCCCACACACACATACACACCCACACTTCAGTTCCTAGAAATACCAGCTGACATGGTGTATTGCTAGTTTAGTAGATGCATTGGTATTAAATAAATAAATAAAGAAAATACTATGCCTACCTAAATAACCAATCCTGGGCTACTGTTGGCTTACTGCCAGGTTTGCCCAATTATGCCTAAATAATGGCCTTTGCCAAGCTACAAGTAGGCATCCGCATATCATTAGGCCAATGCTGCGTGCATAACGCCAATGGGGCCTAGCCTAGGCCTGGCTTATTGTCACCATATTATAGGATTAAAACTACCGTACATTGCAATTAAAATTTAGGCCAGGACCTAATTAGAAAATGAACAAAAATATAATATGATCAAATTTATGAATAAACACACGTAGGCCTACCATTTTGTTGCGAACAAAACCATGTCAAAAAGATCTACGACGGGTCTCTTTCAAGTTGTTAGTCATGTCGTAGGCTTACAACAACGAGTGCGCATGCACGTGATGATTAATCCATCAAGTTTTCTTCATAGTGAAATTCACGGCGTATTG